CTGAAGTTCTTGCTGAAATCACACCTGAAGTACTAGGTTGAGGGCTTGTCATTTGCTGCTACCTGGATAAATAAGCATTTTCGTTAGCTGGAGACAAACGGAAATGTTTCTGGGGTGATTTTTCTATATCAGTAAGGGATTCAGAGAAAAAACTGACGGTAGACTGAATTTTTTCTATGTCTTCATCACTTCCAGCTTCAGAGAAGTCTTCACATCTTCACTCCCTGATGGTATAAGCAAGAAATCTTCGATATATTCATCACGCAATCGTTTGCTCGACATAATCTGTAATAAATAAAAGTATTCATAGGTACACTTCTCGTAAGTACTTATTGGTAAAAAGGAAGGCTAAAGCTCAACGTACCATATGTGGAACATAGATAAAAATACGATTTATCAATAGATATAATATAGTAATAGAAAAAGTAACTTACCTCTGCCAAATAAACACTTTCTTACAATACGTTATATTTTCCCCCGGATCAAAACCTTAATGGAACGGTATTTTATTATTTATTTAATTTACACAAACATCAAACGCATACCTTAGGCACAGAGTAAAGAGTAAGAACCAGAGGGGAAGCTTCTTAACAACGTTGAAAATGTATACCTATTCTGATAGGGTTGTCACATGATGCATGTGAAAAATTTAAGGAAAAAATAAAAATATTGTATAGCATAAGACAACATGTGCATTAATTATAACTTATATTAATATAACAACATATCTATTAATTGTTCGAAATCAAGAGCTGTTTCGTATCGATTAATTATAAACAATAAGGAAAAAATTCAAATATTATATAGTGTATAAAACAACATGCGTATTAATTATAACTTATATTACATAATGTAACAACATAATATCTATTAATTGTTCGAAATCAAGAGCTGTTTCATATCGATTAATTTTAAACAATAAGGAAAAAATTTAAATATTATATAGTGTATAAAATAACATGTGTATTAATTATTACTTATGTTACATAATGTAACAACATATTATCTATTAATTGTTCGAAATCAAGAGCTGTTTCGTATCAATTAATTTTAAACAATATATATTATTTACCTATATAAATTTATAATAACTTAATTATTTTAATTAAAAGACTTAAATCTAATTATTTAATAATTGCAAAATACTTAATAAATTAATTGATGTATAAAATTTCGAAATATTGTTGGTCTATTTATTTAAATGCGCACGACTAACAGCCCTTTCATGGATACTCTGTCTGATTGAGCCGGCGCAAACCGGTTTGTACCCCGACGGAGCGTCGGTGAACCTGTCGGTGAGAGCTCACGCACACATCGCTGCGGTATATATATACATAGGTATGCGTGTATTCGCAGCGAGCCGTTTGTATGTAGCTTCCCTTCTGGTCGGTTTCTTTACTCATGTGCCTTAGGTATAAATTTCACCGTTTACTGACAGTAACCGGATCTGTAACGACATCTATACGCGTTATATCATTGCTATATTTGAGGCGTGTCCCTCAAAAACCATGAGATGTGGTTGTCCCGCATATGGTACCGAGTGCCTTGTAGGGTTAAAAGTTAAACATAAAGTGCGTACACTATATTTAACAGCATTCTCTGCCAGTCTGCCATAGCATGATGAAATATTGTGCAGGTGCAATTACATACATACTTATTGCTATATACATATAATATAAGATTTCTATACATATAATGTATGTTAACCGATTCGTTGCGGCACCAATTTTCGACAACTTTTAGCTGTGGCGGCGAACAAATATGTCATGACACGCCGGGCGTGTCAAGCGCCACAGACATCACATCCGCCATGTGTAAAAGTAATAATTCTTTTTTATAAAAGCTTTTACAAAAATTTACTTCGCAAAAGCTTTTGTAAAAGCTTTTATATAATGGATTCCCGCAAAGTAACGCCTGATTCTATTAATTATATTCTTTTTTATGCTTTTTTTACTTGTTTAGACCAAATTAAATTTATTTGACATCAAACATAAGTTACAAATGGAAGGATACTTGTTTTTAGTGGGTAACTACGTGTTTTTTTACGCGTTTTCTTTGAAATAGAGAAAGTGACTTTTTTATGAAGAGGTTACAAACCTTTTGTACTATTTTTTGTTGTTATAAAAAAATCATTTATATAAGTAGGTACAGTTAAATCACCCTGGAAAACTTGGTTTTTATTAAATTAAATTTACACCTAATAATAACATTTGTAAATATCAAACAATGAAGAACCTTAATTTGAAAAAAAAAAGGTATATCATTCATTGATATTTACAAATGTTAAATATTATTTAATGTTATACAAATGTAAAAGTAAAGTCGATCTGAAAACGTCTAATAAGTAAGAATAGCAAAACAAGTGTTTTCAAAAGGAAAAAAACGCCGACGTTATACGGCGGCGGTTTGACAAAAGACTATTTATTAGCGAACTTTTTTTATGCTTGAACGGTCTCGAACTGTTTCAAGCAAAAAATAAACCTTATACCATATCACAAGAGCACATGATACTTCGTAGGTCTATTCGGCCATATGATAGTAATAAGACGGCAGTTCAACCATTTTAAGCAAAATTAAACAATAAGACAAACGCATTGTTTTTTTTAACAGGAGACTTGTTTTCCAGATATTTATTTACAACTTGAGTTTGTGAGCGATCGCAATGAGTGCTATTATTTGTTATTTATTAGACAATTTTTCCATAACATGATTTAAAACCCACAAAGTAAAAATAGTACCATGTACACGTTAAAAAAAGGTTGTCAACCCCTAAAAACTTCAAATTTTCAAAATATCCAGAAACAAAGCTGCATGCATGAACTACTCGCAAAATAATGAATATTTTGTTCTGGATAAATTTTCCAAAAAAGCAATTTGAGCGAGTTATAACGATTTAAAAAAAGACACGACTCGCGTGTCATACGCCACACACAAAAGTATGCCTGGCGTGTCACCCGCACTGAACCGGTTGTTTACTTTTGTTTTGTACTTAAATTGATAAAAAATCAAGTAGAATTCTAGTTTCGGCTTTACAGGGTAGTAAGCCATTGTGACAATTATTACTGTGGCGGCTCTGTCGTCGCGCCACAAACGAAACACATCGACGCCTAAATCACGCTAACAAAGTTCCGAAGTTAAAGCAGTATATACAGAATAGCTCTGAACTACCACTCGGAGCGTTGGCCGCTCCCCGGGCAGAACACCTTGCCCGGCGGGAGATCTCCCGTTTTCCTTCCACCGGCCACATTACAATTACTGAGTAGAGGCTCTAGCTTGTTAAGAAGATTTTGTATCAAGTCTGGGTAGCACGCCCATATCTGCATAATCAATAATGGGAATTTAAAGTGTTGGCAAGAGTTAGTTTTAAAATGAAGGAAGTTCTTCAAATGAAATACAGATTATAAGGTGCCCAAGATTTTTTGGCTAATTTCAGTGATATATGTGCTTGACGAGCTAACTTCGGATGTTAGTTGGTGGGCTGCGGCGAGAGGGGTCTCCTCTCCCTACCACTGCAGCTGTCGCTGGTGGAGTCTTGGAGGAAGAGAAGTGTTGGTATTAACGATGCGCCACTCACACCTATCCTCCGAGACTGACGGGGCCGCACCGCTGAGGCGGTGGTGGTGGGGCTGCTGGGGAAGAAGAATGTCGGTATTGCGAGGCGCCGCTCTCCCTACCCTCCGCAGCTAAATCTCGGTTGGTAGCGGACCCATAGACCAGATCCGCCACTGGGGTCAGGAAAGCTAGTGCTTCCGAGTGCTCGTATTTCCTAGCCCGATAGTCTCCGCGTATCGGACTCGTGGGGTCCGTTACGTAGGTGAAGTGACGTGAGAAGGAATAGTAGAGGAAGGAGAAATCCTCTCCTCGATTCCCTCGGGATTGCCATGGGGCGGCCGGCGTTTGTGAGGCCGCGGATGTGTGCGAAAGCGTTTCCGTGGCCCTGCCAATATACGTCGAAGGTGGAATATCATGGGTTTTAGTTGGTGCAAGACCGACATAACACGTCCTTGCCCACGCGAGGCGGGTATGCATAGGCATTTCCTCATGTAAAAAAGGTAACTTGTCAAATCAACTTTAGACAGCTATCTATGAGAATAGCTTGACACATTGTTGGATTAAAAGTTACTCCAGAATTTCTAGGCCAGTCTTACAGCTTCTAAGTTCTTACTTAATTCTAATAGCGGTATCACGCTCTTCAATGGTTGATTGCAAGTAAATTTGAAGGCCGTCATCATTTTTACGTGGTAGAGCCATGCTGCAGCTATATTAGTAGTATAGTTGTAGCACGAATGGGTCGGCTCGACCGGGGAAGGACCACGCTCTCACAGAAAACCAGCGTAAAATAGCAGCTTAACGCTGCTGTGTTTCGTATGGTGAGTGTAGAGAACCGGAGACCCCTTTTACTGGCAAAGAGGCTTTCCATCTTAGTCCTCACGGGTGACAACGCATCTGCATCTTGAGTCTTTATTGAGGATAAGATGTAGATGTCTATGGGTCACAGTAACCACTTACCATCAGGTGGGCTGTGTGCTCGTTTGTCACCCTATCCTATAAAAAAATAATAATACAGAAACTGAGAAAATTTATAGGAGAGAATAAGGAAGTATATCACTTTGTGTGATGTCAGCTTCAATACTAAATCACAGATAACTTTTATGTCCCACATTGAAAGACTGCTGTTGCCCACAAAGATATGAAGAGAACTTAAATATAAGAAGAGAACCTTTTTTACTGGAAAAGAGGCATTCCATCTTAGTTCTCACGGGTGACAAAGCATCTGCATTTTGATTCACAAACGAGGATAGATGTAGATGTCTATGGGCCACAGCATCCACTTACCATTAGGTGGACTGTGTGCTTATTTGTAACCTTTATTCTGTAAAGAAATATAACTAAACCATGTCCAGCTGCTACCTACTAACAGCTAGGCTGATGATGATATAACATTGTTGCAATTCTTATCTCTAACTTTTCAAGTATTTATTTTTCTGTTTGTGTTTCAGATACATAATGGTGCTTATGGAAAGTGCAGTGTCAGGACACAAATTTAATGCTATTAGGGAACGGCTGGCTGACAAACTTGAACTTCTTCGCTATGATCCATACAGTAAGTAACCATTGTTTTATGATTAAAGCGAGGATTTCCGATTAAAGGCTTCTAGTGCTCTCTGGTCCTGCCACCTCAGTGCTAGCTACCACAGGGAGTGATGAGCAAGGAATTGCTCAAATTAATAAAAATTGTTAGAATTTATTCTAACCCTCAAATTCCACCATAAACAGCAGCAACAAAACTTATGATGGGATCATTGCACGCTATCTAGATGCTTGGCGGTCCACCGGCGGTTCTGTGTGATATATTAGAAGTTTTTTTGTGGAATCACCTACTCCGAAAAATTTTTTGGACCATATGACCTTTAAGGCCCGCCACATACATACGGAATTCCGTTTCGGAATTCCGAATGGGTCGGCCACACACATACGGAATCCCGTTTCGCCCACAAAATTTCGAACGGAAAACTACCGTACGTGTGTGACGGGTCATAGATTTCATATGGAGTTGCTGCGTTCGGAATTTCGAATCGGAATATCGAAACGGAATTCCGTATGTATGTGACAGGCCTAAGAAAAGAGCTTACTAAAAGGCCGGCAATGTACCTGCAATTCCCCTAATTTTATAGTTGTTCATGGGCGACGGTAATTATTTACCATCGGGTGAGCCACATGCTCGTTTGCCCCCTATTATATTAAAAAAAAACTTATGTAAATCATTTTCACAGTTCAGAAGTAATTTTGTAGAAATAATTATTTTGCTGTATTTATTCATGAACTTTGTTGTTTTCAGTTCAACACGAAAGCTTGTACAAGGAAAGAAAGAAGATAAGGAGCATAAAGTCATAAGTAAATTAGATAGGTAGTTTTATTTAGACAAATAATAAGCAGTTATATGTTTGAAATGTTTTTATTTAGTTATACTGTAATTTAAAACAATAAACAGATATTCGAGATACAAGGTGGTTTTCTTTACACTCTAATAAAAACTGTTTTAAGTACTAATTTTAAATAATTTTTCAATGTAATATTCTAAATTGAAAATATTAAATTCAAAACATTATGCTTTGCATAGTATTACTAAAGCTGGATTTCCACCGGGGCAACATAGTGCTATCATGTATGCTACAAAATTTGGCGTGCGTTTTCCTAATTTACTATATCCAGTGTTGCCAATTTTTGCTTAGTGGAAGTCACTAAAAATTTGGCAGAATGTATCCTAAAGTCGACCTATGTTTGAATAAAACTATTTTTACGGATTTTATTTCAATTAATTTTCTTATTTTTAATTTCCGACGTTTCGGATGCCTTACAGCACCCATGGTCACAAGATGGACTAAACATTGGTCGACCAATGTTTTTAATTCAGTCTTTTTTTTTTCTAAAAATGATTTAATTTAAAGTCAAGTAGCCCATAAGGTTAGATTTTGTACAACCGACTTCAATATAAAGTATTAAGAATAACTCAAAAACTATTGGTCAGACCTTGATCAAATTAATATGGGACCACATGTGAAGCACCAGCTTTCAAATAAAAAAATAATCATCGAAATCGGTTCATCTAGTAAAAAGTTATGAGGTAACACACATAAAAAAATATACAGTCGAATTGAGTACCGGCTCTTTTTTGAAGACGGTAGAAAATTCTAAGAATTGTCTTTACGTCTCCTTTTTAACCGCCGACTCAAATAGAGGGGTGTTATATAGACGCATGTGTGTCTGTCTGATTGTCAGTGCGTCTGTCTGTGGCACCGTAGCTCTTAAACGGGTGAACCGATTTTTGTTTTATCAAAATCGGTTCAGTCGTTTCATGCTCATAAGCTGTTTTGTTTCGGGGCTTGTGATTTTTTATAATTTTAGTTATGATAAAGCCTGATTGGCTAATTGTAATTTTTGATCGCCAAGACTCCTCGAGTACTGTTCATATAATCGCAACAGAATTCACGCACGGTATTTTTTGTCACATAAGGTGTTCTGAAGCATGCCACAATGATACTGCCCCGGTGAAAATTAAAAGATAATTGAATATATAACATTAGGATATTTAACACATTTACCATTACATTAATAAGTTATGTCATATAGTGCTTGAAGATTGCTAAACTGCCGCCCAATATCTAAACAGCTGTTGATTGGGTCGATTTTTAGTTAAATGACGAACATCCTATCCTTTTTCAGACTGATAATACATAATATTAAATTTTTATTAGTCTATAATTTCGAAAAATTTCATCTTCATGTTGTAATGTCATGTCACTTCATTTGTAACCCAAAACATATTTTTTCATTTGACGGTCCACCACGAGACCGACGCGACGGCAGTGATGAAAGGCATACTAAATCCTTTACTGTGATCAAACGCCGTTTTAGTGTTTACAATGAAATTATTAAACAAAAGAAACAAATATAATTATCATTGTAGTATACGTTATTGTATTTAATATATTCATGAAGAAAAGCCTAGTCTTACAATCCTAATAGGAATAATAATGATTTTCAAAGCCCAAAAAGTGCAGAAGTATAAACTGTAAATATTCCAACATAGTAAAATTAAAAATTATTTTTTTTAAATTCCGTAATTATAAATAACACCTATCAAAATATTCTCACTATAATTATATTATCCGAAACAATGATTAAACACCGACAATTACGAAGTAATTTATAATTTCTAATAAGAAAATATCTCTTAACATTTTAAATAGATTTACTTTGAAATTATTTTGATCATACGGTGGCAACAATAATACAGTTAAACCTATCCATAAAATTGACTAGAATTTAGTAGTGTGTACTTAAATATTAAACATCTTAAATAAACATCTATACATATAATAAAAATGTAAATAGCAGACGTCTGTACATTTTATATTTTTGTAATAAAAGTGATTGAGAGATACTAATCTTAAATAAAATTACAAGTAAATACAGATAAAACATAAAATATATTTTACGATTGACATTGAAGTCATGATTTTAAATCATAATACAATTTCATTGTATTTATATATTATGTGTACTATACCTAATTTAAGTGAATCTTGGAATTTCTTCGACTTATCGTTACAATTTATAATTTATTCAAGAATGAATTGATTTCAGTAAATTTAATTCCTGACAGTTGGTCCTCTAAATAGTTAAGTATGGTACATATTGATGAAATGGAATGATGTAAATACCATACTTACAAAACAATCAAATATTAGCAAAGGACGAATGCTTAAATTGTAGATTATATTTAATTAAAACAGGACCATACAATGAAATATTGATTAAGGGTAATTTTTGGTAGAAACGATGTTTAAAGTCATCACAAATTATCTTTAATATACACTATAGCATGGAATAAATAATAGACTATAGTTACAATTAAATATGTATAACAATATGTTTCCATACTATTAAATACATCGAGCAAAGCATAGGTACATCATTAGCACAAAGGTACATATGAAACTATATTTTATTTGTTAAAACATTGGGTTGGTTTTAGAATCAAGTCGCCTGAATTTGAGGAGTCTGTCACTGTAGGGGGGGGGGGGGGGGGGGTCAAGGGGGCTTATCTCCAGCCGAGCGCCGAGCGAAGCGAGCGAACAGACCCCTCCATCACCTTCGTGGTTATTTTTTCATAAACCATTGTCGACTACACTTTGGTATTACTTTGGCGGAGGGAGGACGCCCCCCTCCCCTTCATAGTAAAGCTATTTCTTTTGGAAATCATTTAAGAAAAATTTTAATCTTCCACATTTAATTTAAAAAAAATAGGCACGTCCGGCAGGGGAAAAAGGTGGGGGGGGCGAATCTACCCCTCCCCCATCCCCACCCCCCTAATAAGGCGACTTGATTCTAAACCTTACCCAAAACAATTTTTTTCTATACTTAGATACAAATAAATAATAGATAATGGCCAAGAGACTATGTCCTAAGATTTGATTCTAATTCCATTAAAAACGTAAAACAATTATTATGCCTGTGTCAAAAACAATAAAAAGCAAACTTTAGTTGCCTTACTTATGTATAATATATAAATATATATAATTTGAGTAATATCTATTTAAGATTCCTATTCACCTGTAAAATGAACATGTTTGTAATCTTAGAAAAAATTGATCTAGTAAATAGATATTTTTACAAAGATTGAATATCGATCACGAAGTGCTAATGGTAATTTTAAGATATTTTTCTTTTACAAATATGTAATCTGCAATCCGATATTTAATAAATGACATTCGGTCGATTTTGATAGTATTTTTCATTGTGGTAATAAATATTGTTATATATTTGCATGTACTTTAATAGTAAAATGATACCATACTTTAATAGTATTATAGAATAGAGTGACAGACTTTTTTCTGACATTTTTCTGACATTTTTCTGATTGATATTTGCAGTAATCAATCATAAAAACCTTTTAATAAAAATGTTCTTTCTAATTTTTTGCAACTTATGTTACCATTCCGCGGCTTAAAATCATGTTTTTCATATGTCTTTTTAGTGATCGTATGTAGTTATAAGTAAATCTATAATGTATATTAATATTAAATAACGTACATATTGAATATCTATTCTTATATCCTTATGTCCATAAACATTTTATAATTTATAAGTAATTAAAATTATGGAAGATATTTTCAAGAGGAAATGTTTTCTAGGATACATTTAAAATGGTTTTGATTGTACTTATAAGATATACTTGAAATTAACAAAGTTATTGCACTTATACCTTTAAATGCATTGGATTATACAGTTTCCAAGCAAGGGCTGTCCATAAGAGGTCGGACGAAATCTGAACTTTATTATTCCGTGCTGTAAAAAAATATCGAAGTTACATCTATGTAACGTTAATATTTTTAGACCGTTACATCTTACCATAGTGTTACCTTGTGTTAGATTTTTGGACAACCCTTAACATTGGTACTATAGAAAAAATATATAGGTATATTAATATACTAACGCAATATATTTTTGTGATATGATATAATATGGCTAATATTTTAGTTATTAAATATGTCCTTATTCAATCATTTATGTGGCAACACTAAATAGGAATTGAGATAACGTTAAATAGGTTGCTAAACTGAAAGCTGGCATCGTGTAATCATCCAACTAAAACATTCGCCCGGACCTAAACCAACTTTTTCGATCCATAAACTGTATAGAAGAGGCAAAAAAAAATTAGAGTGAAAAGGACCATGGTGAATGATAAATATATTGTTAGATGGCTCAGTACTGCGTTGACATCAAAATAATAGACATTTTGGAGAACAGTGCGTCGTATATTTTGTAGTATTCCTGTTCTTATAAAAAACAGCTAAAACAATACAGTTATAGACGCAATGTACTTCAATAAAATAGGTCTGTAAGTCTGTAGGCCGTAGTTCGAATCCCGCACGGAACAAGTGTTTGTATGGCCTGGAAATAATTGTTCCGAGTCTTGATGATTGCACACGTTTAATTATGTACGTTAAACGCCTTCGCAAATAAAATTAAAAACTCAGTTAAAAGTTAAACTTAGTTATTTACTCTTAGTAAAGTAATTTAAAGTATAAATAAATTTATATTCGATTTCTTAGGGAGATGAGCAGATTTCCTAGATTTCTTAAGGGGAGGGCGGCACTAGATTTCATGGGGGTGCCGTCCTGGACCTCTTTCTAGCTACACCGATGTAATATGGGGTCCATTTGGAATAAATAATATAACATTAAATACGAATTTTTCAAAACTTTTTCCTACTTAAGTAGACAATGTAGACAATTCCTTATTACTTAATATAAGGGGCTGTGCACAGTTAGCTTTTAATTCAGTTACTATTTAATATTTTTTTCTTAGGGAAAGTTACACTATTTTAT